AGCCCGCTCAGAGATGTGTATAAGAGACAGATACGGTTGTGACAACCGTACTGATGAGCATACCTTAACAGATGAATGCCATGTAACATCACTATAACTTAAATTCACATGCATTTCTTTTCCAAACATAGAGAATATTGTTGTAACATCCGTAGCAGTTTTTTCCGTGTGTCTAAACTAACCGGAACACCGATATATATCCACCGAAAAAAAACATTAAAAATGTAAAAGAACGTATGTACTTAGTGTGAGACATTTCCGTGTTTCTTGATATGTGTGTGTGTGTGTGTGCGCGCGCGCGCGCGCGCGCGTATGTGTAATATAAGAAAAAGTCGTGTAATATGAGTCACTCTAAGTTTTTTAGTATAACATGACTTGGTGAAAATTAAAAAAAAAGAAAAAGTTACTTGTAATTTAAATAATAAAGAAACGGAAATAATTTTATCTAAAATTAGATATAAAAAAATTAATAATAATTAGCAAAAAAAAATTATAAGTATTTGAGATTGAGGAAAAATTATTGTATAGTCGACCAACTATAATATATAAGTCATTAAGTTTTTAAGTAAAAGTTATTAATAATGTAAAAGCCATTTAAATGTTAAACCAAATTAAAAGGCTTTTATTGTAATTTAATATTTACATGTCACATAAAATATAGAACGTTTTCTTTATCAATGCATTTGACATTATATATGTATCCAATTTGCACGTTTATGTAATATTGTGCGTACTCAATCTTTATTAAATATCTTTTTGCAAATAATGCATTCAGTAAATACTTCTTTATCAAAATCAAGTTCTTTTTTTCAAAAAAAAAAAAAAAAAAAAAATGTTGATCGACAGTACACAACAGGTATGTGAAAATATTTTTGAAGTAATTATACAGTTTAATTTATAACTCACCTCCGATTTTGATGAAATTATGTTCAATCGGCACGTTTTGCAAGAAAGAAATAATCCAGTAGAAAAAAGTGTTGCTCTGTTCCGAGAACCGAGAAATTAATTGTTAAAGTTCACCAGATTCAGATTATGTAACTTGTCATGCTGACAATATGTAGCGGTGTGAATGTGGCCCGTGGTGTCCCTGGTTATATGCACATGCTCCGTAGTCATATGCGCATGCGTTTCCATGACCAAAATGCGCAAAATATAAAATGTTTGTGAATTTATGTAGAACTTAGCTTTGTGTTGTAGCTTTATGTAAAGTGTATGTATGAAAGCAGAAGGGATCATCCCACTATCCAAAAGTATATGCAGCCAAAATTTAATACCATTGTCTTTCAAAATAATTTTAAATTTCAAAACAGGTTTAAAATGACTAAAATGACCAATAAGATCATAGATGAAGCAAACATTTGACGTGCCTGCATTTTATATACATTTTATCAATTAATGCAATCAGGTCACACCAAGTTTTTGCTTCACTAGCCATGATCTCATTAATCATTTTAATCGCTTTAAGCTCGTTTTATGAAATTTAAAATTAGGAAAGAAAATGGCATTACACTTTTGTTGCATATACTTTTAGATGGTTCAAACAATTTAGTAAAAAAACATTTTTAGTTTAAAATAAAATATTTTTCTTTCTGTATCTAATCAAATACATGGCTACTTGTATGATCTCATATTTGTTATTGTTATTTATTAAAAAAATACTTTTGATTAAAAAAAAATGTAATGTACGGTACTTTTTTTATATACTTAATGTAAATATTCTCTCTATTTTTTTAAAAAGATTTTTTGGTTAGGATTATTAGTCGCATCGACATCGATTAACCTTGACTGTGATTAACCCTGATTGTGAGATAGACTGGCAATGAGAGAGAGAGAGAGAGAGAGAGAGAGAGAGAGAGAGAGAATAAGAAAGAAAGAAACGAAACAAATAGCAAGAAAGAGAGAGGATGAGAAAGTAAGAAAATAAGAGATCAAGAAAAAGAAGAGATTTTTAAGGTATATTTAGTGTAGACACTTTTATAAAGTCTTTTTCTGAGATTACTTATATAATAATGGATAAAATAATATATTGTTAAAAACAGTAACTTTTCATTTTTATGATTTTTATAACTCTTATGAAAATATTTTAAGAGATATTATAATATTTTAAAGATATTAAAAGTATTATAATTATGATATACACACATGTATATGTGATTTACGTAATATTGAACCAATTGTCAATGACACAATTTGTTTATATTTTTCTAAAGAAGTATGACAAGTTAAATGCTTAATTTATATTCTTACTTAATGTTTGTATTGTTTAATTTTACTAATGTATTGCAAATATTAACATATAAAAATTTTACTCATACGACATCTATTAAGAGAATTATGAATAACACGCTCTTGTGCCACTGACTGTAACACTTATGCCAAATGCCGTAGCAATTATATTGATGGTGTATCGTCTAGAAACTCTCTTCGTTTCGATTTCATAACAGAGTTCCAAATGATCGACCAAATAGTTAACGAAATCGTAAGAACATTTTGATAGTAAATCATACATAAACTTTATTTTGCTGGCTGTGAAAGAAGAGCTTAATGTATTTCTCATTTCCTTCCAACGATCTCCACACGAAAAGAAGACGTTCTTGCTAAATAACAGTTCTATTATACACTTTCGTCAATGAAGTTGCGGTGATCCGGAAAATGTTCAAAATCCTTTACCACGATGATTTTAATCATCTTAGGATCGGACACAAGCAGAGCAGATTTGAAGAAATCCGCATTACTTCAACGTATTTAGCATCAGAAAAGCGGTCGTACAAATATTGGCAATAATCGGTAAAAGTAATGTAACCCATATACATTTGCCAGATTGTTATAAAAGATGATAACAAATTTGACAGATAAGGAATTATAAGTCCTTATTTTACTAGTAAAGATATATGTATGATGCAGCGAAGTGATAATTTTCAGAATGTTGATGATCAGAGTACTCAATAACAGTACAAAGAGCGATGAAAGCAATGATGAATCCATTGTAATGCGGCAGAATAACAAATCGAGATGCTTCGGCGAACTCTGCGTAGAACGTTATAATATATGCGTGAGACGTTTGCGAAGGCTATATTGTGGAAAAAACGGTGAGAGAGGAAAACGTTTTTTGTATAATCGCGATGACATGTCGTATTAGTAATTTGCACGAGAATCGTTAGTCAATTTACGCATAACGATACTTTAAAATATCGTGGCTTCTATAAAAAACGAATTTTTACTAATTTAATTTAAAAAATCTTGTTCCACGTTACAACAAAAATTGACGACGCTTTCCGTACGAAAATAGTATTGATAACTATGTAATAGTTATTAGATTTATCATGCACTTTTTGCACTGTAGATTTAACATCCCAGACCATTGTGAGAAATAACTAATGCATATTAAAAATAACAAGTATATAAGCTAAAAAAAATTTTGTTTTCTTATTTTAATCTCTAATCGTTGAACCATTAAAAAAAGTAGATATGGTATCAAAAACGCACTAAATAAAATAAAATATACACCAAATATTTTTTTATTATCGTGTTTTAATATTAAAAATTTTATGTTTAATAAAATAGAATAATATTTGTTTTGTAACATAATTGATCATTTTAAGAAAAATATATGACATATTTATACGTAAAAGCAAATAAAAACATTTTGCCACATTTTTCAAAGGACTCAACAAAAATAAGAATGATCTAATAAAATAATTAAAAATGAGTACTTAAAAGACACGTGAATCTACCAATACAAAGTCTATAAGTCCATAAGTCCATTTGTCTATAAGATAGCTGGCAATGACAATTAAACTTTTATTGAATATTTGTACAAGGTCAATTCAAACATTTAACAGAAATATGTTTGATGTTATACTTATACTACAAATAAATGCAAGATTTAATCTCACTCAGATATATAAATAGTCGAATCGACGTTTAATAACTTTGATCGATACAGACTGATAATCAGAGAAAAAATAAGAAAAAATTGAGAAGGGCAGATAAGAAGAAGACAAGAGGAAAAGAAAATGAGAGTCAGAAAGATAAAGAATGAGAAGGCGAGAAAGTAAGAAAGCGTTTGGGAGAAAAAAAATAAATTTTTCCTATATATTTACTATATTAAGTACACATTTTCATGAAGTCTTTTTCCTGTGATCAAGTATAACTGTTTGTATAATATGTTCAAAATGCTATATTTTCTTCTTAATTAAATTTTTCAGAACTTTAATGAAAATATTATAAGAGATATTATAATTTTAAAGATTTACGTGCGTACGTGATACACGCATAATACATTGCACGAATTGTTAATAATATTATGTATCTATTTTCTTAAGAAATATAATAAATTAAATGCCTAATTTATATTTTTGATTAATATTTGGACCTATTTAATTTTTAGATATATTACGAGGATATTTAAACTAGTAAATGTAATCTGTATTAATAAGAAAAGAGTTGGGCTCAAAAGTTCAATGGACTATGCGCGATAAATACTCGTATATTTGAACTTATAAAGGATTAATCGTATCGTCTCTATTTCACTATTAGATGATGGAAATTACATAAGCCATTAAAACGATTGAGCATTAATACAATAGAATATAATCAAGTAGACTTAAAAGTAAATGCAGGTCACAATATTAATCATAATATTTAATTTTTCAACTTTTCATTAGAAAAAACTTAACATTTTAATATTCTACTTAATCTTATGCATGATACAAAATATATTACCAATAAATCTTATCAAATTTCAATTATATTGATTTGAAAGTGTGTAATATTTTGAATGTTCTTAAAATGCGAATATTTTTCTGAAACAACTATATATATACTTTGTAGAAAAACTATCTGGTAAAAGATTTTTACGTTTCTCTTTTTTCCAAGCTAATCCAGGATCCGCTAATAGATCTCAACGAAAATTCTCTTTTAGCGAATATAACTGGTTCGACGGTCTTATCCGTAGTCTTCAAAGTAAACTTTTGTAAAAGATGAGCAATGAGAATCTTCGTCTCCATAAGAGCAAACCGATTACCGATACACTTTCTGGGACCATGACCGAATGGGAGATAAGTGTAGGGTAATATGTTATCTTTATTTTCTTCGCTGAATCTTTCGGGGTCGAATTTATCCGGATTCGGAAAATACTTCGGATCGCGATGTATAGCATAAATACACAATACCAACGGATCCGCAGGTTCAACGATTATACTCTTGCAGCCTGGTTGAGATGGAGGCAGTTCGTATCTCTTAGCACAACGTCTATCAATGAAAGGCATTGGTGGATATTTTCTAAGAGTCTCAGAAATCACCATGTCCATGTAAGACATCTTCATTAGCGACTCGTAAGAAATCTCGCCGTTTCCTTCGGCAAGATGCTGCTGTACTTCCTTGCGCAGACGATCCTGAACATCTTGATTAACCGCCAGTTCTTGAGCAACGAAACACATCAGAGCCGAAGAGGTTTCGAAACCCGCAAAGAAAAAGATAAATGCTTGCGAAACGATGTCGTCTAATGACATTTTGTGTGCACTATTACTTTCTTTATCCCAAGACTGCATTAACAAATGGATCATGTCCGGTCTGACGATATTTTTCTCTTCTCGCGCCCTAATTGTTTCCTGTACGATCTTTTTGAAAAACTTGGACGTAGCCGGTGGAAAAATAGTCAGCCCAATTAATTTAGCAAGCCATGGACACTTGAGTAATATTATAATCTTGACTATCCCTAGTAGTCCTGTAGGAAGTTTAGTAGCCTCCACTCCTTTTATAAAGAATTCATTGTCTCGATCTTTCATAGAATTCACACTTATGCCAAAGGCTGCTGTAGCAATTACATCGGTGGTGTAACGTCTAAAGGCCTCCTTCGTTTCGATTTCATGACAAAGCTCCGGATGGTCGACCAAATAGTTGACGAAATCGTGAGAACACTTTGATAGTAAGTCGAACATGAACTTCATTTTGCTGGCTGTGAAAGAGGGACTTAATGTATTCCTCATTTCTCTCCAACGATTTCCGCGCAAGAAAAATAAGCTTTTGCTAAACAACGCGTCGACGTCGTTGTTAACGAAGTCGCGATGATCCGGGAAATGTTCAAAGTCCTTCACGACCATGTTTTTAATCAGTTCGTGATCGCGCACAAGCAGGGTAGGCTTGAATAAATCCAGTATTCCAATATATTTAGCATCTGGATAGTAGTTGTACAAATATTGGAAATGATCAGTGAAAGAGATGTAGCCAAAAAACAATTTCCAATCCATAACAAAAGATGAAAACGAGTTTGGTAAGTAAGGTACGCCCTTGTTTTTCCAATAAGAAAATATTCGATGAATCAAAGTGATAATTTTCAAAACGCTGATAACGATCAAAGTACACAATAATAGCACGAAAGGCGACGGAAGTAATAATGTATCCATTGTGATGTGACAGAATAAGCCAAACGAGATGCTTCGTCGGACACTGCGTAGAACATTATAAACATGTACGTGAGACGTGCGCGCATATGTTACTGTGAAATAAAACGACGGAGGGGGAAACGCTTCTAGTATTATCACGACGATACCATGTGCAATCAGTAGAGATACGAGACATATGTTAGTTGATTTACGCACAACAATATTTGTTGAAATCGTGACTTCAATAAAGAGTCAATCTTGATTAATTTTATTCAAAAAATTCTATTTTAAGTTCAAAAGAATTGACAAAACATTGACAAAATATTGCATTAATTGTCAAGAATATAATTAGTTATTTATCTATACATTTAAACAAATATAATAAGTTAAATGCTTAATTAATTAATATTCTTACTTGACATTTGTAGTACTTAATTTTACATCAAATTTTAAGAAAATCTAACTAAACTAATAAAGTTTAATCAGTAAAAATAATCATTACTAAAAGAAGAAGAAACATGTGAGATGGATAGAAGATACGAAAGGTATATATGAGACATATAGAAATGCCTGGATACTGCTCATCGTGCAAACGTAAGTCACCATGATCTTAATTAACGGAAGGGCACGATTATAATTTATCAACTGCCGACTGACAACTTCATGAATTGTAATTCAAGGTTACACTATAGCGCGTACGATTGATATAAGCTATTGCTTAATAAAATGTAAGCTACTTCACGCCTTCCATGGCTTGTCGGTCAACATCACTGATGATGGTGTATAAACTTGGATTTTATTAATAAGCATAAACAATGAATCCAAATTAATCCTCTCGTTGATTTCCAGTGAGCAGAGATTAGAAACGCATAGAAATATAAAATCTTTATCTTGCATGATAAGTCTATGAAAAATTCACAGTTAACGTGATTGTACGATTCTCGAGTGCAATCATGCGTAAAATAACTACAGTAATGACACTTATATCATGTATCTTTTAAAGAAATATTACATTTAAAATTCATGTTTGGATATCATATCCATATCATGTCACTGAATTTTAAAAATAGCTCTCGGTAAATGACAATTTTAGAAATGCCACAACATTCTTAGAAGTTTCTAAGAAGAATACAAATCATCGTTGGAATAATATTGGACTACACGTGCCGCTCCAATTCATCCAGTAGTAGCTGTTACGCAATGAATAACGTGTACGGATAGTTTTTGATTAATTTCGTATTATTAAAAAATTATATTTAAAAAAAAAGAGAAAAAAGTGCACGCGCGGTGAATAACAACACAATATATGCAATTAGATAATAATATCGTAAAAGTGCTTTAATATACAAAAATACATTTAAAAATATTGAAAACATACAAAAAATTTTAAGCAAAAAATATTAACAGAAATATGATGTTGTGCAAAAAGACTTTTTACGTATATTTAAAACACATTATTACAAAGTCTATTTTTTGACATTTTATATAAGTCTTAAAATAATATTGTCAAAATGAAAACTTTATTATGATAATTTTTTAGAACATTTATGAACATATATAACAAGTGATATTGTAAATTTCATGATACTAACGGTATTATAATTACGACATAAATATGTATG